TTGAAGCAGAATTTTTTCAAAAGAATTTAAAACTTTATCAGTTTCAGAAGCAAAATTAGCGAGCAAATGAAGTTTACAGAAAAAATTACTCATGTCCTTCATATTGTCTTTGACGTTTGAGGAAAGAAAGTCCCAGTTACTAATTGCAATAGGCAAAAGTTTTTCCCTTAATGTTTTTAACTGTGAGTTAAAAAGAGGATTAACCGAAGAAAGATCAGACATTGTTGATTTTTTTGATGTTATTAGTTTAGCAAAATTAATTTCTTTTTCAGTGGCTGAGTTGCTAACAACGTCACAAATGTCATCTACTATATTAGTAAAGTTTTGCAAAACAGTTGCTGCATCTTTGCCAACCACTTCTGACCGACCAAAAGATAAAGTTTTCCCACTAGTTGTAGTAATTTGAAAGTTTTGATAATGCTTATGGTATTTCTGAGTACCATCACCATGCAAACAATTGCCTATTTTAGAGTTTTTATTTATCAAATTATTTTCAAGCATTGCTTCTGCAACTTGAAATTGACCTAAAATTGAAGCTTCCTGCATTAACCTACATTTTTCAGCGGCTGATGGCAGTCTAGATATGTTCTTTTTGGCTAGTTTGTTTAAAACTACTTTTATGACTTCATTGACACTATTCATACTCACGTTCATTGAAAGAAGTTTCATTATTGTTTCTCGAATGTCATCACTGTATCTGCCATCTTCAAATGTTATTACTTCGTCATCATCCAGCAAAGAAACCAATTTTTGAAGTTCTAGATTCTCCTCTTTTAAAATGTTTGTCTTACTATATAACGAAACAACTTCCTTCTCTAAACTTATAACATCTTTCATATTGTTGTCATTAATATAGTTGGTTTTATTTTGCAAAATAATTTTTAAATTACTCCCTTTTTTTTGCAGCTTTATTTTTTCGTTTTTTAATTCAGAAATGTTTATATCTGAGTTTTCAAGAATTGAATTAATATCTGTTATTTTATTTTTTAATTGCAATATTATTTTTTTTTCTTCATTTTTTAACGAATTTATTTTATTTTTTTTTATTTCCAGCTGAGTATCACGATATTTTATTTTTTTATTCAAATTTCTAACATTAAATGATTCTTTTTTTGACTTTAATAGCTCTAATTTGTTTTCAATATTATTAAGCTTTTCTTCTTTTTCACAATAACACTTTTTAATAAAGTTTAATTCAGCTTCTATTAGAGAGTTTTTCGAAATAAGTATTTTTAGATTGTTTGACATATCTTCAAAATCTTTTAGATGTGTAAAATAATCCATTTGTAAATCCATCATAGATTCCATTTTCCTTTTTAAAATTTTTTTTCTTTTTTAAGAATTTTGTTTTCGCTTATCAGTATTGTTTCTTTAGGAATTTCTGATGCACTCACTGTGTTATAAGAAAAATTTGCCACAGGTGGAAAAAAGGCTTCACCTAATAACAATGCTAATTTTTTATTTTTTCGTTGTTTCTTTAATTTTCTGATGGTGTCAACTAATCTATTTATCTTTTTGGCTAAAGCTTTCTTGCAGCAGAACAGTTCAACTTTAAAATCCAAACAATATCTACAATATATTGCATCATAAGATGTATCTTTTAAAGCCAAATACCAATCATAAATACTTTCATTTATCATTTTATCTAAATAAATAAAGATTTTCCAGTCATCAATTCGAACAAATATATAAACATATAAATATATTATTTCAAAGTCTTTTACTTATTATATATATATATATATATATATATATATATATATATATATATATATATATATATATATATATATATATATATATATAAATATATATATATAAACTTAAAAATTAAGTAAATTGTATAAAAAGAAAATTGCTAAGTTACAAATTAGACTTACTGATAAACGAATTCCATGTTCAGTAAATGCCGTTTTGAATCATCCTTAAAACTTTGCAAAGTGCAGTTTAAAACGAAGTTTTGTTTTTTACAAAAGATTAGAAGAAATTCTTTCCAAACTAAAGGCCCCCGATATTGAATTTGGTACGAACTTAATTTAAGAAAGTTTATGGGAACCACAAAGTTATTCACTGAAAATTTGGTTGGAGATTTCATTAAAGTAGGATTGAAATGTTACTGGGGAAAACCCAAGTTTTGCTTTAAACATAAATATCATTACTTGATGAATATTAAGCTTATAAATATTTAAAGCTCCAAGCTGACGTAAGAGAGGTTCGCATTGTGTTTTTCTATTTGCCCCAAATACTATCCTGCAAGCATGTTTTTGTTTACTATAAATTTTTTTTGAGTTTAGTGTGATTAGTGCTACCCCAGGAAATGTTACAGTATGAAAGATAGCTGTGTATAAACGAAAAACATAAATTTTTTAAAGACTCGTTATTCAGAAAAGGTTTTGTTCGATATAACATGGCAATATTTTTTGAGATCTTACCTTCAATATATTTAATATGAAATTTCCATGACAATTTTTCATCTAAGAGCACTCCCAGAAAGTTTGTAGTCAATTCCCTTTTAATTATTTTATTATTGATTAAAAGATTGGGTAGTTTAAGAGGAATATTCTCGGCTTTACTAGGTTTATGAAATAGGATAAATTTTGTTTTCTCTACATTTAATGATAGTCGGTTACTTATAAACCACTCGTTGATCTTGTCTAATTCTTCGTTAAATATTTTAAAAAGAACAGTAATATCTTTGTGAGAATAAAACAAATTGGTGTCATCTGCAAATAAGATAGTATTTAATACTTTTGATGATAAATATAAATCATTTATATAAAGTAAGAACAATAATGGTCCCAAAATAGAACCTTGGGGTACTCCACAAGTTATTAAGTTGTTTTTTGAGTCTTTTGATTCTTTAAGTATAAATTGCTTTCTGTTAGTTAGGTATGATTTAAACCAAAGTAAGCTTTGATTTTTAACACCATAGTTTTCTAATTTTTTCAAAAGAATTTCATGATTTACTGTGTCGAAAGCTTTTTTTTTGGATAAATCAATAAAAACCCCTATTGTATAGCAATCACGATTAAACCCATTTGATATACTTAGAAAACAAAAAACCCACCCTATAAGACTACAAAAAAAAAAAAAAAAAACTTGTTCACTTAATAAATAAATAGTTGCAGAACTTATTTTTACGTGGGGACGAAAGAGTTATTTTAATTTACTTACATTTTAACAAAACTGAAAGATTTAAAACTAAATAACTTTATCAATTCTAAACCAAAACGTCGTCCCCAAACAAATTATTGTAGTGCAACCTTTTCTAAAAAAAATAACATCTACATGTACGTATATAATAATTATTTTCATGGGTGGGTTTTTATTCTTCAAAACCTACATAAAATCATTTCTGGCGTTTTTTGGACGAAGTTTTTCAAAAATATATTAACGATTTTTTTCCGCGATAAAATGTCACGTGACAAAACTTCCTATTATAATTTTTTTTTTTTTTTTTTCTTTTTTGATATTGACATATCAAAAAAGAAAAAAATAATAATAAATAAACTAAAAAACTTTTGTTGAAAAATTTCTAACTTTGCCAACACCAGTTCTCTGTGACAAGACGTGATGGTCTAATTAATGGTCCTTCTTGGAGTATCCGCGTTCTTTTTTACTATATTCTTTATTTTTTATATTTTAACAATACTTTTATTTATACTTTTTTCTTCTTCTATTTATTTGTATCTTTTTCTTATGTATTGTAGTATAGAACAAAAAAAAAAAAAAAAAAAAAAAATTGGGATAATTGCGCAGAAAGAATTTGCAAAGATTTTTTCGGCACACGTATGCCAGTTCACACCTATGTCAATTTACGCTTCGCACTTATGCTAGTTTGTTCTTAAGCCAATTCGTATTTATTCCAATGTTTGAAAATTCTTTTGGCGCACCTAAGCCAAAACGCACTTATTCTAGTTTTTATAATTGCTTTGCATTTATGCCATTTCACAGTTATGCTAGTTCGCACTTATGCCGATTCGCACTTATACCAGATTTTACAACTGCTTTGCACTTATTGTAGTTCGCACATATGCCGATTCGCACTTATGCTAATGTTCGCAAATTATTTTGGCGTACCTACGCCAGTTTGTATTTACGCCAGTTTTTAAAATTGCTTTGCACTTATGCTAGTTCGAACTTATATCAATGTTTGCAAATTCTTTCGGTGCACTTGAGCCAGTTTGCACTTATACCTATTTTCACTTATACTAGTTTTTGCAACTGCTTTACACTTATTACAGTTTTCACTTTTGTCGATTTTCACTCATACAAATGTTTGCGAATTCATTTGGCACACTTATGCCAGTTTGTACTTATTCCAGTTTTTATAACCGCTTCCTACTTATGCTAGTTCGCACTTACGCCAGTTCGTACTAATGTCGCTCACACTTAAGCCGGTTAACATTTATGAAACTCGCACTTATTGAGTTACCCCAATTATAATATAATTATAAAATAACCATGATAAATGAAAAATTTATAAATAGTTTTGATTTGTTTGTGATGAAAAATTACTTTTATTTACAGCGAAAAAATTTTACACATTTTAATTATGATATAATAATTTATTTTAAACACAAACAGATAATTTTTTACTGTTGTGACCAAAATAACATAAAAAAAGAATATATATATATATATATATATATATATATATATATATATATATATATGAAATTAAATTTAAACTAAATCTAAAACTTAAACGAAAATAGAAAAATAAATTATTTAAATCTTTTTTTTTTAATCAAGTTGAGATAACTTGTATAATGTATTATTATACATAAGCTGTAAATTAAAAAGTATATTTAAAAATATATAAATACAATATTTAAGAGTTATTATAAAACTTCTTTATTGTTACTTGTAGTCAAGGTGATATGTTTAGTTTACTTTAAAATATTTGTCGGTGCTTAAAACACGTGTGCAATTACATAAACATTTTTATGTTTTTTATGTATTTTACGTGTGCAATTACATAAACATTTTTTATAAAACACTTCTTATATATATAAAAAAATATATATACATCGTACAAAACATGTATAAAAAACATAAAAGGTTGTTACTTGTTCTGCTTATAAACTTTCTGATTTTCAATATTCTTCAAAATATTTTTAATATATTTTCACAAAAAGACATAGCAGCGGAGCATTTGTTTTATGATGAATTTGAAAAGAGAGAAAAAGAATACGAAAAGTATAAAACAATCAACGAAGCTAAAGATGTTACCTTGAAAAAGTTTTTAATAAGTGGCTTATATTTAAATTCAAGAGAAGAACTTGAAAAAACATTTACTGAATTAGATCCAATAAATTTACTTCCGACTGCAACATTTGTATTTAACGAATTTAAAGATAAATTTCAATTGATTGAGAATTCAAAAGATTCAACTTTAACTTATAGCTCAAAGACCAAGGTTGTTTCCAGTCTTCAACTTTTAGTCGAAACTAGTGATGACAAAGTCATTGAATTTAAAAACGTCGTAACCGACAATTTTATCAATAACCAAAATATTAATAAAGAAGACAATACTGATCATAGAGATAATACTAATAATTGGAAAAATAAAAACTTACTCAATATGACTTTAACTAATTACCCTGTTCATACTTCTTCAAATAGTAGTACTGTAGAAATTAGCAAACCCATTTCTACTTTTAAAAATATTAATTTAGAAGCATCAAAAGATATTCCAGTATCACTAAACAATCAGCATATACAGCTGACATTTGTAGACAACGAAAATACCGGAAAAGTAAATATTTATTATTACGATGATATTTGCGGAGAAGACACTTATGCATTGACATGGAACCCGCTTTTTCCTAGATCTCCTTTCAAAGCCGAGGTAAGAGAAACTATTGACGACAACAAGCTTAGCTTAAATACAAGATCTTTTCGAAAAATAACTGGTTATTTATTGCCCTTAATTTCAGATTGGTATACTTTTGAGTTGTCATCTCGACTCGGTGCAGAATTTATTCTTTTTGATAAATACGAAAACTTTAGTTCAGGAAAAGTTCTTGATAATTTTTTATTACGAACTAAAATTTCAAGGAATCAAATTTTGAAAGAAGATAAGACAATTGGAAAGTGGAACTTATTTAAAGCAATATCTGAGCCTGTCTTTTTAGAAAGTCAGAAAAAGTATTTGTATGACATTACAAATGTGTGGACGGTATATGGAATGCTTCAATTGAAATGGAAAGCCTCAAATAGTACATTATTTTCTTCAATACCTTCTGCAAGTTTATTTCCTTTGTATAAAATTCCTACAATTAATCCTGTGCTACCAAACATTCTATATTTCAACAAAACAAATAATGAAATATATTTTGAACAAGATAAAAAAAATAACTTTTTCAGAATACCATATTTGAACATGACACTTAACTTAAAAGAATGTGCATATTCCCCTACTTACATACCTAACAATTTCCCACCTGATTTAGGTACAGCGTATGTTAGGATTGATTCGATATACCCAGATAATAAACTGTTACGTAACCATGATAAACATGCTAACATATCTATACCTTTAGTTGACAATCAGAAAGCAGAAGAAGTAATGCACATTTTTCTGGAAGCCTTAAACGGGTATGTGAAAATTGTTTTTCTTTTTACTTTTTAATAATTAAAGTAATTAGCAGTAAAATTAATGAAAAGCTTTTGGTTTAATAAAAATTCAATTTACAAACAAACAAATAATTATTAGTTTATAAATTTATAAATTACACAAAATTTATTTGAAAACTAATGTTGAACTAATGAATTTATAAATAACACATTGTTATTTATAAATTAATTGATTAATTGTTAGTTTATATATTTTAAACATAACGACAATTTAAAAAATTGCTCGATGTTACTCCTTACCAATCACATCAGTCACATAAATTGTGATGTAGTAAGAACTTGAAAATACGGCCACAGAGCAACAATTTGTTACACCATGAAAACATTTTTTTTGTGTTCTTGTTATCTTTTTATCTTTATTAGGTTATTATATTTTTCTTTTTTTCCGACTTGTGGGAAAATAATTGCATTAAACAACTTTTTATATTTCGCCGTGTTAAGGATATATATACCGAGGAATTAAAGATACATAAACCGAGGAATTCAGGATAGATAAACCGAGGAATCAAGGATATATAAACCGAAGAAACAAGGTTATTTAAAAAAAAGAATTTAGGATATATAAACCAAGGAGTTCCGAATATATTTTTTTAATTCTGTTGATAACGTAATTAAAAAAAAGAAAAGAAGCAAATTCATTGTTTTTTCTTTTTTCAAATGTTAAAAAGTATTTATATCATTAAGTTAAGATAAAAAATTCGAAGACTCAAATAAAATTTCACGAAAACACAACAAAAGACCAAACAAATATTTTTATTTACTTTTGGGTATCAAATATTTTTCGGTCAAATATATTTGGGTATCAAATCAAATATTTTTGGGTATCAAATATTTGTCGGTCCCGTTTAGTTAGAAAAATGAATTTTGAAATACATGATTCAAGGCGGTCATTTTAATCATAGAAAGCTTTTTTGTTTTGTTTTGCTTAAACTGCTCAAAATCTTATTGAATTTGTGGATCTTTTTTTTTAAAGACATTACCATCGCAAAATATCTCTTGATCATCCCCTGCCATTTGCTTTCTAAAAAAAGAAATTTTCTATGTAAGTGTTATATTAACATTGCAAGTTTAGTCGTTTTGAAGCACCGTGGAAGTGCATTTAATCAGGAGGTTTACTTATTATCTTTAGCTTCTTTTTTTAAATATTAAATTGATTAAATAAAGAAAACATTTGCATACTAATATTGTTGCATACTTGCAATATACTTGCATACCAACATGACTTAATAATACATTCGACAGTTTAATCAAATTTTGACTTAGAAGTACTTAAACGTTTTGTTTAAACAAATCAGCTGACTTAATCATAACTTGCCAGACTTCATCGAGCAAATCCATTTTGCACTATAATATAACACTTCACCAAACCAATAGCATTTTTCAAAAAAATGTTGAGGGCTACATTTTTTTTAAAAAATGTAGCCCTCAACATTTTTTCAAAAAAATGTTGAGGGCTACATTTTTTCAAAAAAAAGCCCTCACAAAAAAAAAAGGGCGTTGATTGCGTTTCTGATGTTGATAGTGAATAATAAGCAAAAACACTTAAATAAAACAATAAAACAATATTTTACAACTTACTAGCTTTTTTAATTTTTGTCACAATCTAAATCTACAAATTGGTTTTATGTTTTTTTGATATTTTAGTAAATAACATTTCTGTAGTTTAAATCAATCATTTTGTTCTCACCTAAAGGGTAATCCATATGATTTTTCTTCGTTTTTCATTTTTTTTTCTCAGTGTTTAGAACGGGTGAGTTGCCTGTATTTTCTTTTTCTGTTACAAATATTAAAAATGAAAAAAACGAGTATTTTTTCTGCACTTAATTTATTTGTATGAAAACATCAATTACGTTGTTTACGGTTTACATAAACAAACCATCATACTCTTCTCTTCCTAACATAACAAAATGTTGTCATGACTACTTTATTACTACAATACTAGTTATATGTTTTTGCTCATTTTAAATAATATTTTTGCAACTCTCTTATTAGTTTTTGTATTGTATGTCGACATATTTAAATAATGACCCAAAATAATAACTATTGTGAATTAAAAAACAAGTGTCGTGGTAAATGTAGGTGTGACCACCCAAGCAACTACTTGTATAAGTTTATTTTTAAATTGATTCTTTTCTGAAACTTTATTGTTTTGGTTATTTGTTTGTATTATAATTATTATTATTGTTCATTTATTTTTTATTTTCAGAACATTCACCAACCCAGATATTGTTCACATAGAGGAAAATAAAGAAGAAATTTTAGGGAAACGCTATTTTGTGGAAGTTGATGTCATTAATAGTGGCTCAAGATACCGTTCAAGTGGATGGTTTTTTAAATATAAAAATGGAAGTATATGTAAACCAAGTGGTTATGTATGGCGCTTGAATGAAAAGATTTATCTTTTAACACCAATTAAGAATCAATCAAGATGGTTAAAGTTTCTCGTTGATTTGTTAAACCGTATGTTCAAATTATATTATGATTGTGAGTGCCAAAAGTAAAGCGGGAATTTAGGTGGTTATGAAGAGATGTGGTGTGGGGAAGCGTATTGTTGCTTATAATACATAATTTAGAATTTATGTTTTATAAAAAATGGTTAAAATGTCATATTATCGAATAATATGATGTTGTAAAGAATCATTCGAGATTTAAATATGATTATTAGAAATCATATAACACTTAAAAAAAAAATTTTAAGCACTTTAATAACAAATCTTTAAAATATATATTTAATCCAAAAATTTAAAAATCGAATTTATATACAACTTCATTTTTTTATAACTTAAAATTGTAGTATGTCATGTCATCATATGTAGTAATATGTTATCATACATAGTAATATGTTATCATACGTAGTAATATGTCAGTCATCATACGTAGTAATATGTCAGTCATCATACGTAGTAATATGTCAGTCATCATACGTAGTAATATGTCAGTCATCATCACGTCATCATCACGTAGTAATATATAGAAATAGTAAGTATGAAACAAAACAATAAATGCATGTTTTTATAGATATTATCACAACAACTGGCGAAAAAAACTTGCATTTGATAGTTGTGGATTATGAAAGTAACGATGGAAACGTGTCAGAAATTTTAGCTTCTTCAAAATTTCCTTACACTTTACTATTAAAAAAAGGAAACTTTAGTAAAGTAAAGGGCCTTAATGCAGCCGTAAAATCCATAGTTGAAGATGATGCTTTGATGTTTGTTCTTGACTTGCAAGTTCAAATTCCTTTGTTTTTATTTGATAGCATACGAAAGGTAGTAAATTTATTATTATTACTATTATTTATCTATTTTATTACTGCTTATTATTATTAGAATTCATTTTTTAACTATTTAGAATTAAAGTTATTAGAAAAAATGATAAACTTTTCACAAAGTTCAATAAATATGTAATCCATCAAAAAAACATTTGAAAATAAAGTTTGTAAAGTTTTAGAAGACACAAAATGTGAAAAAATGTAATATAAAAAAGTAATTTATTAGATAAATAAAGTACACCTTCCACCCCAATTGCTTGGTTAATCCCAGTTACTATTTAAAAATAGGAGGCTTTAGAACCTTTTTCTAGGACATGTAATAATTTATTTTACTGGTTTTAAAGTATAGACATAAATAGGATTTTTCCTAATAAGTGGATAGGGTATAACTTACTAAATCTAGAATATATCCGATTAATAGAATGTTGAAATTGACCTCATTTTTGTCATGTACCCCAAAACCACCTTAACTGTATTGGTTTATGATTTCTTTAGAACTAAGATCTCATGGAGATCAACTAATAGTTAATTAATTACTCTATGAGCTAACTCATATTTTGCAGAACAATGTATTACAGTAACGGTGTCATTTACATCTAAACATCATTTAAAAAAATATTGTTTCAAAACTTATGAAATAATAGAAACAAATTTAATAGAGTCGTATTCCACTAAGATAAAAACAAAATATTAAATAAATAATGTTGCAAGGCGCGTATAACCAATGATATAATATTTAAAGAGCTTACGCAAAATGCACTTTTAATTATGTCACAACCAATAGGTTACCTAACAAATGGTGTATGCATTATATTGGTGTGCAAAGCTTTAAGAATAATGAATAAACTTTATAAAAAATAGATATAAATTGAAATAGCTTAATTATTTTAACTAAACACTTTGATTAAACTAATTGAAGTAACTAATTTTATTACAATAGATAAAATCAAACCAAAACTGTCAAAGAAAACGTCCAAATGGCGCAAGAAATGAAATGATAAAACTAATGAAAGTAGACAAAAACTTAAAAACTTTTAAATTTGTAATGCCTCTAAACGAAGGGGAAGACTTGATGAGTTAATGGTAACATATCTCGATAGGCATGTTAACTGTTGCAAAAACTCTTTAGGTTTTTTAAACAAAATAAAAAAGGATCAGTTTATTTTCTTGAAACCCAATTTTAGATTGGTATATAATCTTAAATAAATCATTTATCAGTTTACTGAAATCATTTATGTTTATTTGAGTATTATAATACTGCAATTTTATAATGTGGTATTTAGATTGTTACTAGTATCCGTAGTGTGTTCAGATGCAATCCTGGTAACATAGACCCAAAAAGGGCCTATGTTATGCATTAGATTAATACATTCTTGAACACCGCTGCGATATTATAGATTTATTTTCATCGGTAAAAAGAATTATTTTCTGCGTTAGAATAATTTTTTTTTCTTCTAAATTTTAAGGTTTTTTGGTACCCAGGGTCAATTCATCACAATTTTTTGCAAAGCATCGTTATTTGACATAAGTATAAACACATAAATGTTTGGAGTTTGTTCCATGTCTAGAAATTAGTTATCTTAAGTAACAAAAACTTAATTCTCAAAGAAAAATGAAATTTCTATTCACTTTTCTTCGTGAAATGTGTTGCTACTGTAATTTAAATTGATTTGTAGTGTGAGATATTTTGAGTCGACTTGTTATAGGGTAGTATTTCAAGTACATCCAGTCAACCCGATAATTGAGGACAATGATTGAACTATTGAAAAAGTTTGAAGAACTATCCAACCTTGCAAGTTCAGAGGACGAGTTTTCAGTTGTCCGTATCATTCCAAAACTCTTTGGTCTGGAAGATGAATTGCATTTAATATGACCCACCCAATTCCATGATGAAAGTCGTTGATCATTACTTGTTGCAAATGCGTGACAGATTTCCCGAATGTGGAGCTACAGTTTTAGGATACGCATATGCAAACATGTTGGATTCACGTTACAAAGTACCAACATTGCATGATATGCAATGTTGGTACTTTGTATTGGGCATAGGTACAACAATATCAAAGGTACAAAAGATATCTTTAAATAAAGCTGTGTTCAACATGTGCAAGGCCGAACTTAGGAACACCACATCACCCAACACAACACAATCCTTCATTGATGAAACGGAAGATACAATGACACAGACACACACACACACTTCTCAAGAAAAAAAAACAGTTAGATTTGTAATAAAGTCTTGCAAAAGTTTAAAAATCCAAACTTTTAGAAAAGCGCTTAATAACCCGGAAGGAAGCACCTCTAACCACTGCGGCCGTGGCGCAGTGGTTAGAGCGCTTGGTTTTTAAACAGGAGATCTAGGTTCGAAACGAGCTTTGGATATATTTTGCGTCACGGTAAGGAAGGAGGCGTGAACTTCCTGGTTAAATGCACTTTTGCGGTGTTCTGTGACAAGAGTTAGGACTTCTTGGGGCACCTAAATAACAAATTAAAAAAAAGAAAAAAAAAAAAGAAAATTACCTCAGAAGTGCAAGATATACCTGAGCTGGTTATTTTTGTAATCTTTTTATATGGTTTGAATACTTTTATAAATAACTATGGTTAAAACAATTTAATGTATCAGTCAACAAATAATGCGTGCTGTGACACGACTTAGTCATAAATAAAACAAAAAACCCTAAAGACTAGTTAACGTGTCCACTTCAATGAAGCAGATCGAAACCTTCAAGATTAACTAAGTCTCACCAAATATTCGGCAGCCAAATATTTGATGCTTTGGCAAAATTTCGTGACATTTCTTGTTTTTATAACCCTTAACCCCCCCCCCCCCCCTCATAAAAAGCAAAATAGAAAAAATTTTAAGTAATCTTTTATTAATTAGGAACAGCTAACCTAGTGCCGTAAAAAAATAATTAAAACGTTAAAACTGGAAAAATCTTTAAGGAATGTGGTAAAAACGTACAAAAATTTTTTAATAATAACACTTAGTATGAAAAATTATGATTATTAGTAAGTTTTTTATAACCCAACATTACGTAGTTCTGGTTGTAACACCACTGCTGTGAATTGGCTAAAAGTAGAATGTTACAGCTCCATGAAATGAGTAATGGTAAACTTTGTTATTGGAAGCATGTTATAATTTTTTAAAATAAAGCGCTACACTTTATTTGTATGCAAAAAAAATATATTTAACATTGAAATATGGTGTAGCGAATTTTACTTTTAAACATGTTTTTTTTTTTTTAAAGTACAATTTTAGAAATGCACTTTCTTTTGCTAATTCGCGTCAAAACCTTAAACAAAAATAAGAACAATAATTTTAAATGTAGAGTATGAATAATTTTATATGTAGAGAATACGTATTTTTCTACCAAATCATGACACAAGAAGGGATTTAATCTATGTCATTTTTATACTAACTGATAGAACTTCTTTTATATACTAATAATCCATTAAAACCTGAACATCGATAAAAGTGGAGACATCGTTTTTGCACCCATGTCTTTAATTAGTCTCAATAAAATAAAAAAAGCTATATATAGTCCCGCCCTCCCTAGCCTAATCCAGCATACTACTACGTTTTGAATTTTTTTAGCACACGTTTAAAGGTCAAACTACGTATGTTCCTGTTATGATAAGATTAGGCTGTGGACAACACCCGTTTTACACTGAAGTTGAGTATGGATCAATTTGGCAAGAAATTGGCTATGGCATGATTTCTATCTTTAAATCGGACTGGAACAAAATAGGAGGTACATTTAAAACAATTATTAAATAAAAATTTTGTTAATTAAATATGTTACTAATTAAATAACTTCAATCAACAAATAAAAAATTGAAAATGGGTATAAAATTTTTATAAGCAGCAGAACTCCTTTGTTTCTATAGGCATGGACGAAAATCGTTTTGGCGAAAAGTGGGGTGGAGAAGATTGGGAACTAATTGATCGTGTTTTAAAAAATAAAATTGAAGTAATTCATCATAGAATCCCTGGATATTATCATCTTTATCATTCGACAAGAGGAACCTGGGACGGTTCAAAACTATTTTGAAAACTAGATTTATACCATTAAACTGAATTTAATATAATATAAAATCTAAAATTTACTTTATGCGTGTTTATTATTCTAAAGAATTATTTCTTTACAATACACACTTAACATTATATGCGTCTTGAAGAATAAAAAATGTGCTCATGTAATTAAAAAAATCTTTTTACAAATCAAAAGTTTCTTTAAAGATTTTGATATAATTCTGAAACTATATTATTATAAAAAGTAATGAATAACATAAATGATATCAATTAACAGTATTTGTAGCCAGCACAATCTTATAACTGTTGCCCCATCTTCCTTTATTATTTACCTCTTCATCCTCCATCCTACTATACACTTTAGCAATTGCTTGTTACCACTCATGCCTAACCCGCTGAACATTTTCTATATTGTTAATAAAAATGCTTTTTATATTACTCATTATGATTAAAACAAATCTTTTAAATGTTTTCGAATGATATAAAAAATGTCAAAAATGCTTTGATAATAAGAGTAAGAACTTTTATTGTTTTTATAATAATTATATATTTTTATTTTTATAATAATTACATATTTTTATTTTTATGCAACACTTTGTTAAAATTTCTGATGAAAGTGACTTCTCATTATAAATATAGTTATATCACATTATCACTAAGAAGTCTATTTTCATAAATACAATTCTTAGTGATAATGACCCAACACCCTAATTCTAAAACTTAGACACAGTTACTTATTTTAAAATAAATCTGTGAGATTGCGTTCCACCTGGAATCTACGGAATGGTTAAGGCTCACGAATCAGAAAAAAAAACCACCTTATGCGATCTTTAAACCACCACTTTATGGAATATCAGAGTATCTGTAGAAAATTGATTCAATGAGCGTTAACTAAAAATTTATATAAAATCCTTCTATAAAAAATACAGTCGAAAACCAAGAAAATAACTAAATTTTTTAGATATTTGTATTACAAATACAATGATTGGATCTTATGAGATCCGATCATTGTATTTGTAATACAAATATCTAAAAAATTTAGATAAAAATAAAATAACCAATGTTCAAATAAAACTGAACTTTAACATCAACAGCTATAAAAATCATTTTATTAAAATAGCCAAATACTATTTACACTGGAGTTCAAAAATACCATATTTTAACAATTAAATAAACGAAAATTCGTTAAATATCTTGAATGCCTAATATTGATCCAAAATTCCGAAAAAAATTTAGAAAATCTATGCCTATGCCGTAATAAAGTAAACTACTTCTAAACTCAAATCCAGGTGATAACCGAGTAAAACGCTCATGCGTAAGCGTATATTCTGACGAGACCAAAAAGAAAATGATTTCAACAAATGTTGAACACTAAAAAGTCAGCAAAATTGTTAAATGGACAAGTTCAGAAGTTAATGAACATTCTGAAACCATTGTTCTTTTGACTGTTCTGTTTTGATTATTCTTTGACTTTTCATTGACTGAATCCAGGGCCGTCCCGAAGGGGAAGGGGAGTGTCGGGGTGTCCCACCCCCCCACCCCCCAAAGCTGTCGTATATTTATTTTGAGTTGGCATATTGAGCAAGTTTTAAACTATAGTTGACAAATTGCAAATATTGAAAACCTTTTTTTTTTATACCCCCCCCCCCCTCCTTGGAAGACCTCTTCGGTACGGTCCTGACTGAATCCAAAGACCTTAGCAACTTCAAAATACCGAGCCAGAAAAATTAAGGAATCCCTTAAAATTAATAAAAAGAAAATTTGACATAAACATGAACAAGTGAGAAAGTTGTTCTCAACCGAGAAGACGGCGACTATGTGGAAATAAAAATTGTGAACCATTTATAGCAAAAAATTTAACTAACTTTATGTTATTTGTATTGACTTTAACGCCTTTTAACTTCTTTTTTTTGAACGGTTTGTTTTATGTAATTTTTCAAAGATTTTTTTTATCGACGACGAGGCTGACTACAATAGGTTAGATAAATATCGCTAATATATAAATAGATCATAATATAAAAAAAAAGTTGATACGTTGCCTTTTTTTTATCGAATTTATCTTAAAGAAACAAAAAAAAAGTAAAAAAAAAATAGTAATAATAAGTTAAAATATTTATTTTTTAAAGTAATTAATAATTATGTACAGAAAAATGTTAAAAATTCATTAAAAAAATCAACTAGTTTTTGTCATTTCATACGGAAACTTCCACCTGAGAATCGCACCATCAGTGCTTACGCTGACAATATGCTTCTGTAAAGGACAGATTTTAAGCCTGGTAATCTCTCCACAATGACCAAAACCGATATGAGTTATTTCACCTTCATTATATCTCCAAACCTTGCAAAAAATAAATCTTTTTTTACAAATCCAGGCAAGTACAAAAAGTTTCACAAGAAATCAACACTTACTTTTATGAGTTTATCTTCACCACCTGTGACAAAGTAAAATCCGTCTGGTGAAATATCCAAGCCGTTTATAGATCCTGATTTGGTTCCCTCTAATTCGCGTATAGGGGATCCATCGTATGTTTCCCAGCAACTTATCTGCATTAGTGTTATCAAAATTATACATTACAATATTTGGTAGAAGTCGACACTGATCCAGCTTTTCAGGAAGGGTGTCGACTTTGCCGAACGAAACAAACTATTTTTGTTTTGTCATATAAAATTGTTAGTTTCTCTATTGGCTGGATTATCAATTGGGTTGGGGTAATAATGTGCCACCTTTACTTAAAGTTCTGTGTATATCATACTACAATAACAAAAGATGATACCTTATGATCAGTCCCAGCAGTTAAAATCTGACATTCATCAGGGCGATAACACACTACTTTAAACATTGAGTTTGCAAAAATAATTTGATGACGGACAAAACGTCTAAAAACAATAATACAAAAAAATATAATTAAATACAGAAAATAAAATCAAAACACTAGATGAAATCAAGATTTGAGATTTTAAAGCAAAATAATCTTAGTGGTTTAGAAATCATGCTATGAATATTTTTTTGCAAGTCTAACTACTCTTTTTTTGGTCCTTTATCTTGATAACACTGTTTAAATCCCTTCTTAACAATAATTTTAAATAACTTACATTATGGTGATAAATAACTTAATTGTTATTACAGATTTCAAAAACAAACTTGTTTTGAACTCTTGTTCACAACAAGAGTGTTCTTGTTCACAACAAGACTGCTCTTGTTGTGAACAAGAGTGCTCTGGTTCGCAACAAGAGTGCTTTTGTTCGCAACAAGAGTGCTCTTGTTCACAACAAGACTGTTCTTGTTCACAACAAGAGTGCTCTTGATTGTTTCCAGGTCTTTCAAAGACTACTTTGATTATAATGATTCTTTTATAGGTATCATTCCTAAAGCAGCAATAACTTGCCTCTTGTTGGTAAAATATTATTTATAATGAGAACCCAACGTGTTTTTGTAGTAAAAGAAAAATAAATTGATAATACCAAAGGTAATCTCAAAGATTTTTGTTAAAAAATAAATAAACAGTATTCTGTCACAAAGTTAAAATATTTGTTTTATTCTTTAAAAAATGTTGTTAGAAGCTGTATGCTTCTAACAATATTTTGTTAAGAATGTTTTTAGGTATGGAAAATATATTTTGTGAGGTAAGTATATTAGATGGATGCACTATATAGTACTTTTCTTTGACAGAAATTTTTTCTAAAACAGAAAAAATCTGAATAAAAAATCGGCTTTAGGAACTTGATTCCTATACACATCCATCTAATATACTTACCTCACATTCTTTCCATACCTAAAAATATCTTCCCTACCAAGTATACTTGCCTCACAAAAAATACTTTCCATACCGAAAAATATCTTTCTCACCTAATATAATTACCTCAAAAAATAGAATAAAAAATTTCACAACTTATGCTCTTTAGAATTTAAGTAATAACTCTATTATTTTTTCCTCAATTATGTTATTAGTAATTTGAAACTAAAAAAACTTTTTTAATCAATTTCCTCACAACACAGTATCAAGCAATCTCTAATTAAGTTGGGAGTCAGCAGAATGCAAAAGAAGAGCAAGAAAAAAATAATTTTTAAATATAAATATTTTTTCCTGCATCCATTGTCAGCAGATGACAAATCTTTATCAAGTAGAGGTGGGAAGCTGATTATTTAAACGAGTTATTGAAATTTTGTGTTAAATTAAGGTGGTTGTCTATAATTATTCCTAGATATTTATAAATGTTAGTTGATAAAATTTTTGCATTATTGTAAATTAAATTTTGATTTGAAATTTGTATTTGTGAAATATTTCGTAAAATATTTGTCTATAATATTACTGGTTGACTATAATTATTCCTAGATATTTATAATGTTAGTTGATAAAATTTTTGCATTATTGTAAATTGAATTTTGATTGAAAATGGATTTTTTGGAAAATTTGACAACTACTAAGGTTACCACTATTTAGGTTCAAGATTAAATAATTTCAATATAATTTTTGAGATATTTTGAAATTGAGTTTATGTCATCATTTATGCTTTTTAATGGTACTAAAATAATTGTTGATATAGTGTATCACTAGATTGTCTACAAATTCAATATCATAACAGTGTCTCAGAAATACATTAAAACCATTAAAATAAATCAAAAAGAATAAACCTGATAAACAACCAGTGACCCCCAAGTCACCAGTTGTTTATAGTTCATCATGATATTTGACAAGTTGGTAATAATTAACTAAGTAACATTTAGACCACTCTAATTCATTATCTTCAATACTATATGTGGTTAGCTTAAGGAGGAGTATATTGTGGCTAATAGTGTCAAGCGCTTTTGAAAGGTCGATAAACACCAAACCAAATATTTTTCTGCAATTGAGATGCTAAAGCTCAGCAGCGAGAGCAGGTCTAACAATATTTAAAATGCAAATATGGATATTATTTGAATGAGAGAGGGTATCATTATGAGACCCAGTTAAAAAATGACAACAGTCTTCCATACAAGTGGGAAAAAAATACATTAACAATTAAGAAAAGCAATTCAATGGATTATAAATATGGTTTCCATAAGAGGATAGTAGTGGAGAATAATCAGATAAAATTAGAGGATTAAATAGATTAAACTAGAGGGTTAAGAAAGAGTGCTGCCTCTCATCAATACAGTAGTAGCAACAAAGTTATGATAATTTTTAGCAGTAAACAACCAAGTTTTGTTTAGTTAAACTTTCTTGGCTACTGCAAGCCAAGAATCAAGGCAGCCACTATCAAGAAAGCACAAGCCAATAACCATGGTTGAATACAAAATCTTAGGCAGGAAATCATCATCTTAGGAAATAATATAACACGGGTTTACATCTATACCAGTCTATTAGAAAAAGAAGTGGTGAAACAAGGGTTGCAAAAAAACCTTTTTTTTTAAAAAAAAACAAACCAAAAACCATGTTTTTTTTAAAAAAAACACACATTGTTTTTGGTTTTTAAATAAGCTGTGTTTACTCAACTTTTTCAATGAAAAAACTATTCATTTAACTTGAGTATACTTTCTGTTAACATTTCTGCTGCAATTCATCAACCAATACATCATTATTTAATGTTCTGTATATAAAAACAAGCTTTGCTGCTTTTTTTACTCCCATCTTGTTTCTTTACGTGGAATGAACCAGCCCAAAATTGAAATAATTTTTTCGATTCCAGCAATAAAAGCTGCTGCATTTAGCAAACCTTCAATATCCATGATGTTGTAGTCCAATGATTTTAGAGATTTCCAACATTTTATTGGTGATACATTTTTTAAAACAGATTCACTATACAAATAACTTTTTTCAAATTTGCTCCACCTTGATGATTATTTCGTATATATTTTATTATCTGTGTAACATGCTTGTTCACATTTTCAATGTAAAGATCATTTGCTAAAAAATTTAGCATATGAGCAACACACCCATAAGTAATTATTCAGATATTTCTCTCAGATAAAAAAAAACTTGTCGCATTGAGCTGCATTGTCAGTCGCAAAGCTTTTTACTGTGTACTTTTACTTAGCATCCAAATTTATGTGTTACAGATTATTGTTGCTTTATTTTTTACTTTATGCTTCATTGTTTTTATTATAAAAATTATTTTATTGATTCTCTTGCCAATTGTGTAAGATATAAAATAAAAGTTGAATTGGTTGGTGTTAAAAGGATGGAAGTCCAACCATGTAAACTTTTGAGAAACTAAAAAAAACTGCATTTTCCCCTAAAGTAAATTTTTGTTAATGGTTTAATAATTTTTTTTTTGAAGAGGATAATGTTTTTACCTTTAAAAAAAAATTATTGAACCATTAATAAAAATTTACTATGGGAAAAAATGCAGTTTTTTTTAGTTTATCGAAAGTTTACATTATTGGACTTCCACCCTTTTAACATTCACCGATTCAGTTACAATAACTTCATAAAAGTTTTATTAAATTTTAGTTATTATTGAATTTAAATGTCTTAAATGTTTAAAACACAACTTATTATTATATATAGACAATATTTATGTGAATATATACATAATATATTATATTATATATAGATATATTTTATTATATTATTATATAGAGACAATAACTATTCAAGTACAGGTCATAAGTGTTAAATAAACGTAATTACTATGATTTTAATTTTGCAAATTAAAATTTATTATTAAACACTATTTGTAAATTAAATTTTGTTTGTATTTTAAACATTTAATTAAGACTAAAATTAAAATTACTAAAATATAGCTACTATAAATATGTGTAAAATGTCCTAAACAATTTTCAATAAATATTTATAAATAAGGAAGCATTTACAACTTGAGCATTTATTAAAATCTTAAATAAAATAGTTTATTTTAGCGTAACTAAAGTAGCATTTGTTTACACCCTTCACAAAATTCATGTATTCAAAGAAATGCTTTTTACAACAAGACTTATTATGTTGGAACAAAACTCAAGATGAACACAAACGAAGCGATATCTAAAAATCATTGCCATGGCACCGGTTTTAACTGGGAGGGAAGGCAGGGGTTACTAAAAAAACACTCTCTTTCTCTCTCTCTCTCTCTCTCTCTCTCTCTCTCTCTATATATATATATATATATATATATATATATATATATATATATATATATATATATATATATACATGTATATACATTAAAACGATTATGATCATATTAGAAAATTTTTTTTTACAGAATATTGAGATTTACCTTGCGCTCAAAGCCAAATCACTTAGGAACAATTTGGGGCATTTTATTTTTTTAAATACTCCTAATATATACCTGTTGCTGCGTTTAAAAAACAAGTAGGCAATGTCAAATAAATAACATACTGTAAATTTAATATATATATAAGAAACTATTTTTCAGAAGAATCTTTATGATTTTAACATCTTTATGAGTTTAAATAAGTGCATTCACATTTACATAAAAGTATTTACATGAAAGCTATTATTCAATTTGTAAACACAACCCTGGTTTACTTTCTTGCTGAATGTTTAAAGTTATATTTTTTAAATTGACATTTTTTCAGTTGGTTTAAACCATTTGGTTTAAACTCAACAACCTTGGGTACAACAGAAATTTTCTGCTTACCCCTAAAGTCTTTACCTATTAGACCTTCCACAAGACAAAATAAGTATTTTCATTGATGCACCTAGTCTTTACTTAACCAATAACCCTAAAGCTCAAAACTCTAAGCATTAGTTTTAAAGTCAGAGATAACTAATTGTAGCTTTTACCCAGAAGAGCAAATCCTATAAGGAAGCAGGACATGAGGTATTTTATACTATATTTCATGTTACCAGTAGCAGAGTGATTATGATAAACCTTATCTTGACTGGAAACCACTGTAACTAACAGAAACAAAAAATAACTAAGATTATTTAACACTATTCATTAAAATTATTAAACCACCATGAAACAAAAGTATTTATTGACCACCAATTAAATTATTTAATCACCAACAATGAAAGCTATTTAGTTTACCAACTAAAACAATAATAAAATTAACTAAAAAATAATTATTGCTACTAAATACAGATTTATTCTAATGAAAATTGAAACTTATAGGTCTCAATAGCTGATGTCTGAACAAAAGTTTTTTTTGTAGTTTAAATTTATTCTTATTCTAGATGTGGGCCATGTGTAGTTATGGTATTTATAATATATAAAGGGTATAAGTATTATAGCCACATGTGGACCAAATGTGGCTACCACCTTAATGGCATAAATACCATAGCCACACATGACCCATATTTACACTATAACATAAAATATGGCTATCATATATTGACACATGCGGCCACATTAAATTTTCTTGTTGGGGAATTATACTAATTAGTTACTTACACAAGATCCCAAATTATGCAAGTTCCATCAATGCTAGAAGTGATGCACTATATTAAAAAAAAGTAGAATCAATAATGTATTCTTAAAACTGTCAAGAGTAATTTGAAATTAAGCTATTGTAATAAACAAACCTGTGAATCATTTGAACGAATTTTAACACTTGTAACTGTTCCTAAAATTAAAATTTTATTTAAAAAAATTTAATTTAAATACAAAAATATATTGAAAAAAGCATCATTAAATTAAAGTCCAAAAACTATTACTTTTTTGTTTTAAAAAGAAATCTACAATAGTGAGTTGATTTATTTTGTAGAACTAATTTCCTATATCAAAAATAGTGTTGATTTTTTTATTACTCCATGTTCCTGTTTCACAAGTAATGGAAATTTTTAAATAAAGTAACAAATTACAAAAAATTGCAATTCCTTGCTGGATAACAAACCTTTATATATAGATGTGTATGTGCCAATATATATATATATATATATATATATATATATATATATATATATATATATATATATATATATATATATATATATATATATATATATATATATATATATATGTGTATGTGCCTTTATATATAGATGTGTATGTGCCTATATATATATATATATATATATATATATATATATATATATATATATATATATATATATATATATATATATATATATATATATATATATATATATATATATATATATATAAGGTCAGGTCAGGTTTTCCTGCTACTGGTAACATGTAACCCAGTACAACCTGCTCCATGTCCTGCTGCCTTGTAGGATACGCTTTTTTAGGCAAAGGCTAGGAGAAGTTAACTCCGAATTAAAACACCCCCTGCCTTGGGGCTCTTGGTTGAGTAAAGGCTAGAGATGGTGTCTCGATAAAAATACTCATCTTGGGCAGATGTTACATGCATCCAGCTGCTGTCTTGTAGAAGGCCTTTTAGGCAAAGACTTAAGGGGTAAACAGATTCTATCTGTTGACCAGCCTCGCACCCCTTCCTCATCTATTAGGCTGGCGCAGATGTATTTTTAATACATTGTTTCCAGTTTAGGATGTTGAACGCTGGATCTTCTTGACTCAATGCGTGGGTATTGCTTGTGTCTCTATTTTTATGACTGGGCAACTCATTCTATTATCTCCTAATGAGGGTACAGCTCTAAAACTCAGTTTTATGGTTCTGAGGCCGGCTGGTAGTCAGGTTTCCCGAACTCTGTGGTAGCTCTCACAGAGGCTGATTCCATCAACAGCTAAAAAATATCAGAGTACTAACAGTGCCATGTTGTGCATGGATGGTATCCCTGTTTGTACTTTTGGTGTGCATTGCCAAACCCCATTGGAGCCCTTTGTTACAGCTTAGGGTTTATTAGTGGAAATAAGGCAATTGCTTGGGCTAATAAACAGTGTACTGAGTACTATCTATGTTTCGAGTCAAGTTCTTTAACAAATTTTAAAATGAATAAAGTAACAAAAACTATAAAACACAAAAAACCACAGTCATCACCAAGTTCGCTAAACCTATCATTCACCAATATTCGTGGTCTTCGAAGTAACTTTTCTTCTGTTGAGTCTTATCTCTTGCAAAGTTCACCAGACCTAATTGCTCTTTGTGAGACTAATTTGAGTTCAGCTGTCTCATCTTATGATCTTAGTGTTGATGGTTATCTTCCTTTAATTCGTAAAGACTCCAATAGTCACATGCTTGGCCTGGGCATCTACATTCGTAAGAACTCACCCATTTGTCGTGAAACTAGGTTTGAATCTACAGACTATTCATTTATGTGCTTTCGTTTAGCACAACTTCACTCTATCGCCTTTCTCTTTGTTCTATATCGCTCTCCTTCATCCCAAGATTGCACTATTCTTGATGTTATTTCTGATCAAATTGACCAAGCCCTCTCTCTTTATCCATCAGCCAATATCGTCGTTGTTGGTGACTTTAATGCCCATCACACCGATTGGCTTGGCTCTAGTGTCAGTGACTCTGCTGGCATTAAGGCCCTTAACTTTTGCCTTTCTCAATCTCTAACTCAAATAGTCAACTTTCCAACTCGTTTTCCAGACAACCCTAATCATTTACCTTCTCTACTCGACTTATGTCTTGTTTTGGATCCTAGTCAGTGCTCAATTTCTCCACATTCACCCTTAGGTACTTCTGATCACGGTTTGATCTCTCTAAAACTATTATCAAATTCTTCTACTTCATCAGAATCCCCCTATCATCGTACCACATACAACTACCTTAAAGCTGACTGGGACTCTTTCCGTGATTTTCTTCGTGATGGCCCTTGGGTAGAAATCTTTCGTCTTCCTGCTGACAAATGTGCTTCTTACATAACTTCGTGGATTCAGGCTGGCATGGAATCTTTTATTCCCTCTCGACAATTCCAGGTCAGGCCTCACTCTTCTCCTTGGTTTTCCTCACATTGCGCTGCAGCAATTTCTAATCGAAACCGTTACTTCCATATCTATCAGCAAAACAATTCTCCAGAAAACAGACATCTGTTCACTATCGCCAGAAACCATTGTAAAAAGGTTTTGTCTGACGCCAAAGCTCGCTTTTCCCAGGTCATTAAATCTCGTATCTCATCACAAAAATTAGGCTCTCGAGACTTCTGGAGAATCTTTAACAGTATCAATAATAAGGGCAAATCTGTTATTCCTTCTCTCGTGTATGGTTCAGACTTTGTCACCTCACCTAAAGACAAAGCTGAATTGTTTGCTAAGAACTTTTCATCAATATCATCTCTTGATTCCACTAGTTGCGTTTTACCTGACATAGCCGTCAAACAGGTTGATCCCTTGCTTGACATTCGCATCACTTCAGCTTCTGTATCTAAAGTAATTTCCTGCTTAGACTCTTCAACAGCTTGTGGTCCTGACAACATTCCTGTTGTAGTCTTGCAGAGGTGTTCTCCGGAGCTTTCATCCATACTTTCTAAACTATTTAACAAGTGCTTATCAGAGTCTTGTTTTCCATCATGCTGGAAAGCAGCATCTGTTATCCCTATTTTCAAAAATTCCGGAGAGCGATCTGATTCATCTAACTACCGCCCCTTTAGTCTTCTTCCTGTCATAAGCAAGGTTTTTGAATCTTTAATCAACAAACACTTAATCTCTCATCTTGAATCAAATAACTTACTTTCTGATCATCAATATGGATTTCGGTCTTCTCGTTCTACAGCTGATGTGCTAACAGTAATAACCGATAGGTTTTACCGTGCATTAGATAGAGGTGGAGAGGTTAAGGCTATCGCACTTGACATTTCTAAAGCTTTTGATAAAGTTTGGCATGCTGGTCTTCTCCATAAGCTTTCTTCTTATGGTGTAGCTGGTAACGTCTTTAAGATTATTGAGTCCTTTCTTTCCAATCGTAGTATAAAAGTTGTCCTCGATGGACAACACTCTTCTTCACATCCTGTAACTTCAGGGGTTCCTCAAGGTTCAATCCTTGGCCCTATACTCTTTTTAATTTACATTAACGATCTTCCAGATATTCTCACATCTAAGGTGGCATTATTCGCTGACAACACTACCATTTACTCTTGTCATGATAAGAAGCCTACACTCTCTGATTGCTTGGAGGGGGTATCTGAGCTTGAAAAGGATCTCACTTCTGCTACAGCATGGGGCTCACAGTGGCTGGTGAACTTTAATTCAGATAAAACTCAATTTTATTCGGCCAATCGTTATCGTAATAATTTAGATCTTCCTATATTTATGAATGGTAATGTACTAGATGAGTCATCTACCATTCATCTTCTAGGATTAACTCTTACTTCTGATCTTTCTTTTAAACCGTATATCAAATCCATTGCAAAATTAGCATCTGCTAAGGTTGCATCTCTTTATCGAGCTCGACACTTTCTTACTCCAGATTCTATTCTCTATCTCTATAAATCTCAAATCCGTCCCTGTATGGAATACTGTTGCCACATCTGGGGCGGATCTTCTAATGATGCTCTTTCTCTTTTAGACAAGGTGCAAAAACGAATTGTAAACATAGTTGGACCTGCTCTGGCAGCCAATATCCAACCTTTGTCACTTCGTCGTAATGTTGCTTCTCTTTCTCTTTTCTACAAATACTATAATGGGCACTGCTCTAAAGAGCTAGCGTCCCTTGTGCCATCTACTAAAATTCATTCTCGTGTTACTCGCCATTCAATTAAGTCTCATCCTTTTTCTGTGACTTCAAAAACTCTTATTCTTCTAGTTTTTTTCCTTGAACATCAGTTCTTTGGAATTCTCTTCCTTCATCTTGCTTTCCTGATTCATATAATTTGCAATCTTTTAAGTCATCAGTCAATCGTTATCTTGCTTTACAGATTTAGTCTTTTCTCTTCCAGTAACTTCCAACTCTTACAGTGGTTGCTTGCAGCCTTGTTGGAAGTGAAGATATTAAAAAAAAAAAAATATATATATATATATATATATATATATATATATATATATATATATATATATATATATATATATAATCATCTTCGAATGGAGAACACACCAAAATCTACTATTTATAATATACTTCAAAGAAAGAATAATAATATAGGACCAGAAAGAAAAACCAACTCAAAAAACAGCTGTTCATTCAAAGTGCTGTAGATTGGTTTTGATTTTTAGGAAAAAAGTAGTTATTATTGACGATGAATCGTATTTTTATTTGAGTTACACCAATATTTCCAGAAATGCTGGATTCTTTTCTTTTAAAATAAATACAGCATCAAATGATGTAAAGTTAAAAAGAAAAGACAAACTTGAGCCAAAATTATTTGTTTGGATTGCATTCTTGACAAAAGGAATCTCTCAGCAGTACACTGCTCCATCAGGCCAAGAAGTCAATGAAGATGTGTATATTTCAAAATGACTTGTTAGATAAGAGAAATTCATTGAAAAACATCATAAAAATAACAATATTGTCTTTTGGCCTGATCTAGCTTCGTCACATTATTTGCGTAAAGTGCAAGGTTATCTAAAAGCTAAAAATATTGAATTTGTACCAAAAGAGCATAACCCTGCTAATGTGCCAGAATTATGTCCAATTAAAGATTTTTGGTCTGAACTTAAGAGATTAGTGTAAAATAAAAACTGGCAAGCTGAAAATTTAGGTAAACTTAAAAAGTGGATTGAGTTTTCAATTATGAAAATCAACATAAAACATGTACATCAGCTAGCTGCCGCAACATTTACAAGAGTATACACCGTTCATCGTCATGGCATGAAAAACTTATAATTTTTTAAAATTTTATTATTTAGATAATTTTTGTTATTATACTTTTTAAATTACTAAAATTGATTATTCCATTAAAAAATTATACAATTTCTAATTTTGTCTAGATTTTTAGTAATCAAATGTTAATTTCATTTAACATCTTAACAAACAATGACTAAATAAGGTTTGGTTAGGGCAGGCAGTCTATCAAATAATAAAAGGTTAGGGTTGGTTAGGGCAGGCAGTCTATCAAATAATAAAAGTTTAAGTTTGGTTAGGGCAGGCAGTCTATCAAATAATAAAAAAAAAAGTTTTTAAAAAAAAGTTTATATATATATATATATATGTACATATACACACATAGGTACCTTCAAAAATTAAAAAGCACCTCTAAAATAACCTGGCACCAGCAATAACTGCAAGGTAAAGTAGCACATATGAAAAAGTCGCCGGGTACCCGGCACATCTCTAATATATATATATATATATATATATATATATATATATATATATATATATATATATATATATATATATATATATATATATATTTATATATATATATATATATTTATATATATATATATATTTAAAAACATTAGTTTTTGTAAAGTTATTTCTAATAAAAACATTTGAAAATTTTAACATTAACTTAACTTAAATAGCAGAAACATAAAATATACAGTGTGATACATTCACATGTTAAAAAAAACTGTTTAATACACATAAAAAAATGTAAGAAAGAAAAAAAACCTTTATGTTCTTTCATGGCTTGAACCATCTTATATTCATTTACTTTAATATCCCAAACTCGAACTTGTCCTTCACCCCCACCACTCACAATTCGTTTGCTGTCTGATGTCGACATTAAAGCTGTCACACCTTTGTTATGTGCATCATGAATGCTAAATTTTAATTTCCCAGTTTCAGGAGTAAATGCTCTAATTTTTCCATCATCCCATGCTAAAGTGATTTTAGAATCTTTTTTTTTTACATGTTTAACTATTGTAAAAGTTGTTATATTTTAGATAAAATCATTTAATACTAAATTATAATAAAAACCAATAAAATTCAAATCAATAATTTTTTCTTTATAAAAAAAAGTCTTAATGTTGCATATTTCTACTAATTTTGACTAAGTAACTTTTTTACTGACTTCTTTACTTTTTTACTATATCATACTGACCACTGATTATACTTTTTCCATCTGGTGTAAACTCTATTGCATTGCAAGTCATATTTGGAATAACGATTCGAAGTAACTCTTTACTTGTCTCTGCATTCCAAACGCGAATATCATTAATGGAGCACGTTGCAAAAAGTCGAGAATAGTTTCTGGAAAAATATAATATTAGTAGCTTTTAGGAAAATACAGCGTTGGAAGTAGAAATATTAGTTTATATTGAAAAAAAACACCATTAAACCATTCTGTAAACAATTATATTTCTCCTCTTTATTCATCAACACAAAAACAACTTAAACAAAACAACAAATTTTTGTTTTGGATTTTCAAATACGTAATAATAAAATGTTGTGTTTATATAGAATCATGTCTAAACATAATTTTAAACTTGTCTAACATGTAAAAAATTTTTACATGTTAGACAAGTTCTTTTCTTAAAGTTTAAGAAAAGAAACTGTGATGCATAACTATGATCACCTGTTTTTTTTTGTGATTCTGTTTTAAAACCCTTACATTTATTTCCACAATAAATTTGCATATTATAGATCAAATTTACTAACAATAAAAAAACTAAAAAATAAATCAAAAACATATAAAAAAAAAAACTAAAAACACAATCAAACAAAAAATAATTTATTCTTAATAGAGTTGAAAAATAGCCTAAACACCTAGCCTAAAATCTTTTAAAATTTACTTTATGATAAACTTTTAGAAATTTACATTATACTAAAGAAAATTACTAGTTTTATGTGTTGGGTTTGCACATTATATTAAATGGTGCAGAAAGTTGTTTTAAAACAGAATACAAACATTTGATTACATTGCAGTAAAAAAAATTGAGAACCTTGGCAAATAGAACTCATGTAAAGATGCTATGATAACAATTTAAAACAATAAATATTGTCGTAGCGAAAACTCATAAATACAATCTTCAAAAGCAGAAAATATTACAAGCATCTAATAGAATTTATAATAGACAACTTTCAGAATTATGCAAAACATTATAAATAAAGTCTCTATAAAATATAGTTAAAGAATATATTTTTCAAAAAATTTCTTTAATCAAAAATTAAACTTAAAAAAAAGCTAACAAATAAACCTACTTGGGAAAAGAAATATCTAAAACTTTTGCATAGTGGCAGGTACTAATCACTTGATAAGAAAAATCTTCAAACTTTATTTGATAGATTTGTGAGAATGATGTACCAGCAAAAAACTGAAATTAAAAAGATAAAAACAAGTAAGTAAAAAGTAAAAAGATAAAAACAAGTAAACAAAGTAACAATAATAAAAAAAAGCTAAAATTAAAAAAGTTTTACTTGTTTGATCAAAAAAAAGTAAGGGAAGCAATTTCCCTATCAAAAAAATAAAAACATACCTGTGTCTGACCAAATAAAGTGAGCGATGTAATTTCACCATCTACTTTTATTGATCTAGATAATAATTTTTCCAGCTATAGCACCTTTAAGCAACAACTTACAATCTTATCTACGTCTATAGCACCTTTAACCAATAACTCACTATCTATCATCTACATCTAAAGCACTTTTAAGAAATAACTCACGATCTTATCTTTGTCAATAGCATCTTTAAGCAATAACTCACAATCTTATCTATGTCTATAGCATCATTAAGCAATAACTCACTATCTAACATCTACATCTAAGACTTAATTCTAAAAAAATTATTTTTGATCCCTAGCACTCCACAGTTTAAAAAACATGCATTTTTGTGGACTAAAAATGTAATTTTTGGTTATTTTTTCGGGTTTTCTTTATTTTTCATTTTTGAGAACGAATTTAAATATTTTTCTGAGAAAAATTTCATAAAAAAATACCAATGAAAACAAAAACAAAAAATAAATTTCCTGTAAAAAAAAATTATTCTGAAATTGACTTTGAAAAATTTAAGAAACTTGTGTTTTCACTTTTGCTTAAGACAAATGTCTGTAAATACAAAAAATATGAAAATATGATTGTGTTTAAAAGAAAAATTACCTTACTCTTTTAAAGCTATCAACTTTAACAAGAGATATTGTACCATCTCCAGCTCCTATAAGAAACTCATTATCCTTCAACAAAATAGACAAAATGCCTAAACTAAATTTATCTTTTAATGGACCATATTGACTCAGCAGTTTTGTTTTCATATTGATCTAAATCAAAATTCTAATTAATTAATTAATTAATTAAACATTTTAAAACTTTATATAAATTATATAAAAAAAAAAGTTTAAAAGTTACTTGAAGTATATCACCACTAGTTGTTCCACAATACATGTATTGGTCATCATCTGAAACAGTTATACACTGTACAATCCTTTTTAAATGTCCCAGACTGCAATCAGTAGGTTGAATTATTCGTTTTTCTATATCAAGTTCCCATACCCGTAAGGTTTTGCTGTTAAATTTATAGTAAATAAATTTTTTAGGAGTGAATATTAAAAAAACACACATTTCAAATTTTTTTTGGATAAAAGTGTACTGTAAAAGGTAAGGTGTATTTCACTATAAAATAGATAAGTTTTTGTTAATTTTCAGCTATAGCCTGATGACCTAATATTTTAGAGATATCTTAATTTTCTTTTTATATAATGTTAGTATATGTAGTAATACCTATATGTTGTCATAGCAACATATAGTTTCATGCATAATACTTTTTTTAATGTTTTTTTTAAAGGAAAAATTCAACTCTTACTTTTCTACCCACTTGTAAAAAATCAATGTACTAGTCATATAAAAAAAAAATATATGATTTTCTCCAGTTAATTGGCTTTATAAATATATTGCATAAGTTTTTATTGAATAAAAAAATTAAAGAGAAACAAAATATTCTAGCAGATAATAAATATGTAGTTTATATTTAATACTATCCTAGAAAAGTTTAACTTCATTAAAAGTATATAAAATTATTTTCATACTTTTAAATTAATCTGAACTTACTTTCCACCAGTGACAAATACATTATTGTTGATACTAGCAAATGCAACACAGTGTGTTACTCCTGCACTTAGTACTGCAGCTGCTGCACCACACACGGCTTCTTTTTTTGCAATATCCCATAAAACAACACTACAAATAATAATAATAATAATAATAATAATAATAATAATAGCAATAATGATAATAATAATAATAGTAATAATAATAATAATAATAATAATAATAACAATAATAATAATAATAACAACAGCATGTGCACATCAAAATAAAAGTTTTCAAAAAAAAAAATAATAATAATAATAATAATCATATATAAAGTACACCTATGCATTTAATCAATATACAACAAATAAAACCTCCCATCATCTTGTCCACCAAGTGTTGCAAGAAATTTTTCATTAGGGGAAAATGCAATTGCTTCTACATTAACTTTATGCAATAGCAGTCTACAATTTATTTGCATCTCTTGATAATTCCAAATAATAACTTCAGCTTTAAAACCCATATGCGTTTGCTGACCAGATGCTATATAATACCCAGTTTTGGAAATAGTAACACATGAGACATTGTCATTATGGCCAGATAAAAATCTTTGTAGATGTGTTGACAAGTTCTTCACAACTATAGTGTTACCCAGAGGATAAACTATATGCTTTTCATCAGGATGAACTAACAGGCCTCCAGGAACTTTACCTTTGAAATGAATTTTTTTTTTTAATAAAAAAGTTACAAGCTTTTTTCAACAATTTGATAAAGTAAATAAATTGAAAAATGAAAAATGATGACTTCATGAACTTAAATATACTTTTAAAAACAATTGTACATTATGTATCTTAATATTTTCAAAGTTCCAAACAGATAACTGTTTGTCAGATAACTT